ACCCAGGCATGCCTGAATTAGCCAACATTTTAAAACAAGCTCTCAAATTCATGGCCTGTGGGCCATCCCCAGTGGGAACAATTGTGCAGTCCAGCCCAGGAGTCCCAGCAGGCTGAGAGAGGCCTGTCTGTTCCCATCCCCAAGCCCCACCTCTTCCTTTCACTGCCCCACTCCGCCCTCCCCCATGCACTCCTATTCCCAAAGGACGCAGCCTTGAAGATTACCATGAGGGGAAGGGGGAGGGGCTAGGCACGTGATGGCAGTAGCAGTTGGGCCCCCGGGCACTTCAGGCGGTGGCAGGAGCCACAGGGAAGTGGAGTGAGTGCAGGCGGGCCCAACCTCTGCTGCTGCACCGCACCAGGCCATCCCTCAGCCCCCGGTCATCCCCAAAGCCACGTACTTGGAGGGACAGGGTGCCATGGTTGGAGAGGGTGGGATGGTGGCAGGATGAGCAGGGCTTGGGAGATGGAATGGATAGTCCCTTCCCCAGCCCACTGGGACTCTCAGACCACGTTGTGTAACTGCTCCAGCTGGAAATGGCGCGCAGGCCATGTGTTTGAAACCCCTGTTTTAATGGCCCCTTTGAAAATGTGGCAGTTAGTGTTGGCCTGCCTGAAATTTCCTCTACTTAAGCAACACATTGAGTGGGCTGGTTTGAAACTCCAGATGTATCCTCCCTGTGTCCTCTGGATTGGATTACCAGGTAATGGGGAAAATCAACTCAGTGCCAACCATCCTCTCTGCTGGAAATCTAGTACCAACCTGTCTTGCCATAAAGGTATAAGCGATGCCATTCTTCAGAGACCTGGAGCTGGCTGGCTCACTGATTAGCCCTACCTGAGAAATCTGCTAAGCCTTATAAAACAGGACAGCAGAGAAAGGAGGCCAGAAAGCACAACACTGAAGAAAGCTGAGAGGCTACAGTAATGTTCCCAAGGGCTGGCTGGCTACTGGAGCTATTTCTGACAGGAACCGCCCTAGAGAAAAAACGAATGGACAGGAGGGGAGGCTGGAGCCCTTTGAGACTTGAGATGTAAGAGGCAGGAAGTCTTGTGACAGGAGTTAGAGAGAACTGGGAAAGGGACTGCACTGTTTGCACAGAGGGAGGGAAGAATCTGTGTTTTAGTTGTTGCATTAAGGCTTAACTAAAGCAGCTACTATACTGCTGAAAACAGCTTCTCTGGAGAAAGCCCATACAGAGTTAACCGAAGGGAGCGAGCTGACTCAACGCAGAACAAAGCTTGGTCGGATAACGAGGGTGTGATAGGATAGATCTAATCTTGTTACAATGCCGCAGATAGTGACATGTCTACCTCTAGGGACTCTGAATAATTCTTAGCAATTAAAAGCTTGAAAAACACCCCACACTGGAAGGAGCCTTAATCGTGACACTATTGATAAGGTTTGTGGCTGAGAGGAGACTCTGCATGTAGAGAAATGATCAAAGTGAGAGGCAGAACTTGTGAAAACATTCCAGTGTTCCCAACACCTCTGTGACTGTTAGTGTTTGTTCAGCTGTAGACTCTCCTCAGCTCGTTGGGGCTGGTGTGGCTGTTATGCACACCATGAAAACCAGTGAAAGTGCTCAATTAATGGGGGACTCATTTTGAAGTTCTTGCAGTGCAGGGGAACGGAAACTCCTGTGGTTTCTCTCTGCCGTTGGTGTTTTTTTTTCCATCCTCCTTGCTTCTCAGCATCAACTAGCACTTGGCCATTTACAAATGAAGATAGATTTGCACAAATGCACCTTGCCAGCTACATCCAAAACATACAGATTCTATAGCAATGAGTACTCTAGAAATCACTTTCAGACTTTTATGCATGGATATAGACTAGGGATATGAATATTTTATTGTGTAAACGGTTAACTGATAAGCCCAGGCTTATCATGGTTACATTCATGGTTACATGCAGGCTCCTGCCCTGCTCATAGGGAGCTGGCTGCCGCCCCGGCACTGATGCCTCTGATCCAGAGTCAGCAGCATGGGGTGGCAGCTGGGAGCCAATGGCAGCCCTGCATGTAACCCAGGCCTGGGCAAAATACATCTTGTGGGCTGGATCTGGCCCCCGGGTATAGTGAGGAGCCTCAGGCAGGCTCCCCTGCTTGTCCCGCACACTACTCAGAAAAGCAGCTGTGGGGCCATTTTTCTTTAAAAACTGTGAGCCTGGAGGGGAGGGGAGAAGGCTTCAGGCATAACATGCACCCACAGCACAATCCTATCGGCTGGCTTCTGGCCAGAAACTGGCCAATGGAAGCTACCTGTTTAAATAACAGGGAGCACATGAAGCACAATGCCCCCCTCCCCTCCAGCTCAGTTATTCACACAAGCACATGGCCATGCATGTGTGGGAGAGGGAGACTGGTTGGGCTGTTGGTTGGTAAGTCTCCTGGTCAGAGCCTACTTACTGCACCATAGTCCCTCTCTTCCCCAAGACTTTGACCCTCTACTCAACATATCCAAATCCTCTGCCCCACTCCTGCACCCATACCCCCCCCTCAGATCTGGCACCCTAGTCTTCTGCCCCATATCACAGTTCCCTCCTACCATAGCTTACAACCCAAACTGCTGCACCCTAGTACCCACCCCTTAGGTCACAAACCAAACCTCTGCACCCCAGTTCCCTGCCCTAGGTCACAACTGACTTTTACTCAAACTCCTTCCCAGACCCCACTCTCCCTCCTGCATCCTAGTCCCTTACCACAAGCTTCATTCTGCACCCAACCTCCATCCCAGATCCTGCACCTCCTCCATTAATATAATGAAAGAGTGCAGCCCTCAACCACTTTCCAAAATCTTAGTGGCCCCCCATCAAAAATAATTGCCCAACCCGATGTAACTGCTCCATTACACTCATTTCAACATCATTAGTATAAGGAATGTACAATTTATAATTTCCAGGGTCATTACTGCTCTGTTCTGTATTTGTTTTTTACCACACTGTCAAGGTCTCTTAAATTGTATTTCCTACCTTGGTGGTAATGGGCCATGCTTGTCTGGCGGGCGGTTGGGGGGGGGGAGGTAATTTAATTGCTTTAAAAACAAAATTGTGTCATGGATTAAATTTAGGATGTAAAGGAGTAAGCAGGAGCTTGTCAGGTAGCACTATTGACTAAAAAATGCAGAACAGCAGCGAGGGGAGGGATGTTTGTGCTGAGACCCAGGAACAGGGATTCAGCCAGCATCCTCTCTTGCCAGCTTCCCTTTGCAAAGTGGCAGCAGGAGGTTGTGCTGAGTCATGGCATGAGCCAGGAGTGAGCACTGACATTGCTCTTCCTTATCGACTAATCGAATAGTCGATGGAAATTCCATCGACTACTTGATTAGCCAATTAATCACTACTTAACATCCCTAGCTTAAATCTAGGCCACTATTTTTGATGGCAAGTCTATCATGGGAAATTATGAGCATATTATATATATTGTGGTAATACCCAGAAGCCCCCATCCTGGACTAGATCACGTGTTTTCTGGCATTGTACAAATACAGTACAAAAGATGGGTCCCTGCTTGAAATGATCTTACAATATTAAAAATAAGCTCACCTTGCAGTCCTTCCATTTGTAGGTTGTACACTCTCAGTGGACTGTAAACTCTAGCAGGCAGGCGCTAGTCTTTGCCCCTTGCTAGTGGTTATATAAGTAACATTTTAAGTAGGCAGCAACAAGATGGTTATGAACACACTTTAAATTGCTATTTCTTTGGTGACCTCCCCATTCTTCCATCTCTAAAATTAGGTAGCTGCTACATAGGCAGTATTACATACTCAGCACCACGGGCACCAAATAGCAACAACTGTCCTGATCATTCTTAAAATAATAGCACAGAATGAGAGCTTGATGACTAAAGTGCAGCTAGATCCAACTGCCTTTATCAAATTGTACCTTGTCATGTCTAATTACTACCATAGGTTTTCATGTAAGGCAGCCACAAAATATATGAAAGCTAAAGTAGCATTAAAGATCTGTCATTCAAAAGAACTGACCAAGTTAAGGGTTTTATGCCTATATTCAAACAGCCCCATTGGGCCTTGGAGCAGATGAGTTTTAAGTGATGTTACTTGATAGCCCCACCACCAGAATGCTCGCTGTAGGCATTCTGGAGCAGAGTGTTGTTGTCCCCAGACTCCGCCCTCCCAGTGCCCAAGGGTGGGGGAGCCTGGAGCCATGCCATGTGCCCTCTGACCTCCTCCAGGGCTAGGGAGGCTAGGGCCATGCCGTGCTCCCTCTGCCATCCCCGGGGCTGGGGAGGCTGGGGTGAACGTGTGCCTGCCTGCTCCCCTTATAAAGTTTGCAGATGACACAAAAGTTGCGGGGAGTGGAAAATGAAGAGGACCAGTCCCTGACACAGTGTGATCTGGATTGCTTGATCAACTGGGCTCGAGTAAACATTATACATTTCAGTATAGCTATCAGTAAATGTACACATCTAAGAACAAAGAACATAGGCAAGTGGTCCCCAACCTTTTGGGGTGCCGGGTGCCTGGGGGCAGTGCCACGCATGCGCTGGATGCCCAGGGTGCAAGAATGGCTCGGGCCGGCCCATGTCACTAGGCAGGCGTACATAAATGTCCCGTGGGCACCGCGTTGGGGACCACTGACATAGGCCATATTTACAGGATGGGGGATTCTATCCTAAGAAGCAGTGACACTGAAAAAGATCTAGGAGTCATATTACATAATCAGCTGAACATAAACTCTTCATGTGAGGCTACATCCATGTAATTTACATAATAATCCCTTGGGTTTTCTAGCTCTTGTTACAATGACAAGAAAATAAGAGTAATGAATGGTGGTGATTTCAATTCTATATAACCAATAGAAATGCTCTGAGAGATACTAATGGGAAGCACTATATAAGAGCCAGATATTCTTTTCAAGAGCTGTTTATCCCTATTTTGGGTCAGCATATCTGTAATTTTTTAATCCCTATTCACCAGATTGCTCCCACCTTTTAGGTGGTGCTGATGAGGAAAAAAACACAGATACCCAAAGAATTTGCATTTGTTAGTTCTTTCTTTAATAAAGCAGGTTAGACATTCTTCCAGAGTGAAGATACAAATTTTCACAACTAAATGAATACTCGGTCTGCACTAAGATACGTCCGATATTACATGCATGAGACTTGAAACAGTCATGAGATACAGTACAATGAGCCTCAAATAGGCCCAGGTATATTTTTAAAGTCCCACATTAGTACTTATCTGTATTTTACAATGCATATTATTTTCTATCAGATTACTGTTATCCATGAACATTATGAGCAGTTTGTCTTTGGAAGAAAGAATAATCGCGTATTAACATGGCAATTTCTTCCTTGGTACATTTGTAACATAAGGCAAGATAGGGTGATTATCTGTCATTTTGTCCAAACTATAGCTATTTGGCTTAATGTATATATAAAAAAGTCTAATGACATTTCCAGTATGATCAAACAGCAACCACAAATGGTATTTGGAATGTAGAGGGACCTGGTATAACCAGAGTGGATTTATCTAATGGGATTCACTGAAATCTCATTTGAATAAATGCCACTCTACTGCCGAGGATTTTTTTCAAATCCCATGGGATAACAGACATTCTAGGCAACAGGGAAATGCACTATTACAAACTTGTGAGTTGTAAAAAAAAAGGTTTTATACTTTCAGCTTTGCTAAAAATGTGATATTAATGGCATAACCACTAATTTTTTAAAAATAAGGAGAAATGTACAACTCACATTCTTTTATGGCACTGAGACTGTTAGAGAATGACAATGTGATCGCTGGAGTAAATGGACAGAAAACAAAAGAATGTTTAACACAATCATAAATCAAGTGTTTACCCCTGCCATCACTGCACAATATTTCTTGATTCTTTGGGTCTCTATAACAGTTTCCCAATTTTTACATATATACTACTTCTGCAGATTCGTGTTTGTGCCACATCAGCAACAACTCTAGTTGGAAGGGGTAAGGTGAGAAAAGCTTGCAGGAATTAAATTAACTGTTTAGTTCCCTGGCATTCATACAAGCTCAGAAATGCAAAATAAAGCTGCACACAAGCATCCAGGTTAAATCTGGAAATTTTTTTTTTTGTGATAGTGTAGAAATAAGAAAACTAGAATTAAACCAACATAAATCCCCCTCCAAAACATTGTGTTTAGGATCTTTCATCAAAACAAACAGGTTGATGTGCAGCACAGTCAAGATGGCTGTCACACACAATGCTAAACTTGCTAATAACATGCCAGTATTTCTTCATTTTACAAGGAACAAATAATTTTAGAAACATTATATGGTGGATTTTGAATGTGTAAGTGTGTACCCCTGAAATTATGTGATAATTACCTCTTCATTTGTCTTCAGCATTAGACCTTGTATAATCCAACTCCAGCATATCACATTACCTAACTTTGAAATACTGTATTTAACTTCAGTTACAATTACCAATTAATCTGCAAGTATGTACTATTTATTAATAACATTTGCCATGCAATTACAAGTTATTGCATGGTTACTCTACATGTGTCCTGTAAAATAAAATCATATAAACATGGAAGGATTTTGTTATTTTTGTACATATAATAATTTAGTGGCATTCTTTTTATTTCCTCAGAGCTGCTGAAAGAATGGGTCTCTATTAATAATTTCTTTTTGTGACTTCCAAAGAATTTAAGAATGATTATGGAATGCAAAAAGAATTATATATTAGGGGGTAACAAACCCTCACATATTATCTGATGCACTGCACATTTCATGGGAGAGAGATTTCCTTTTCCAAATATAAAAACAAGTTATTTAGAATCTTGATCTCATTGAACCACTGTCTTTTTCTTGACTGGCAATGGGAAAGATGATATCATATTTGCATACAGAGAATACATGGTTAGCATCAATGTGATATAAAGTGCTTTTAATTTTGAGTGCCTCAGAGCTCTGTTCCTCTCTCCTTGGTTAAATTATGTTCACCCAATAGCTGGAAGCTGTTTTAATTCAATCTGCTCAGATCTAACACTATTAGCTGGTTAAATTCCCCTAGAAAACCACTGATTTAGACATGCTAATCTCAGTAAACTATTATTCTTCCTAGGGAAGGTGAAATTAGCCAGTATAATTAGGGATAAGAGGTATACTGCTACCTCTAAGAAGAAAAAGATATTAGGCAAAAAGTAGCAGTCATGTGTTGTTCAGTCCTTACCCTTTACAAAATTTGTCAGCTGGTTCTACCATAATATGGTGCTAAGGAAATCTTAAAAATGGGACACAAACCAGGGTCTTTCTCCTGCACAGCTATTGTAGGATGAAGATTAAGAACTCAGGACTACTGAGAACAAAACTGACAGTAATTCTAATTCAGAGCAAGGGCAACTTCATTTAGGATTAGAAGGGAAGATCAAACCCCAGTCAAACTATCTGCACAGAGAAGTTTTATCTCTACATAGCAGCATATAAATTTTCACCTCGGCATTAAATTGTGAATCTCTTTTAAACACAGTAGTAGAAGTTCTTTCATTTATTTGCTTTCTTTTGTTGCACATCCCTGGGAATCCAAGTGTTCCTTTTCCTTCTCTCCTTTGCTCAGTAACAAATTACTCTAGCAAGGTGTAGAGGATTTTCAACAACCCCATAATTTGGAGTCAGTCTCCACATCATTTCTTTTTCATACCTCCCTTTCCTTATTCACAGCCATGCCTACAGGGTATTTCTCTCTCTCTCAAAACAGATGCTTTGACTGAGAACTAATGTTATACTTCAGCAAAAGTCACCATACAGATTCTTCTGGCTAGAGGAAAAGGAATCTCATAGTCTCCTGGAATTCAGAACTTCTGTGGGACAACAGACAATGCTTCTAATCAAATAAATTTGGATAACTCCAAGTCACATTTCTAAGCGAATTACTTCTTAAACTGTAACAGAATTCCCATGAAGGAAAACTACAGCACCATCTTCATGAATGGACTTGATTCTTGTACACAGTAGAGGCTGTACAATGCTTAACATCTACAGAAACAGATTCCAAAGGAACACTATTCCAACACACAACCCCCCTAGTACCTCACTCAGAATTAATAGAAGTCTTTTAACTAGTAGAAATTCAAGCTTCTAGATGCTTTAAAGAGGTTATTTTAGATTTAATTTGGTGTTCTCCTATACCTGAAGTGCTGGTCTTCTATAGTTTTCTCTCTCTGAGTATTGGTCAGAGGTTTCTGCTATCTGATTACAGTAATCTTGATGCCAATTGCTGAACCAGTGTGTGATATGAAGGATGCTTTGCATCTCTTTGATTAGCATCCCCTCATTTTCTATTCCTAATCTCTAGCAAAATAATGTCCTTCCCATCCAGCATCCTAACCTGGCATATTGGAAAAAGTAAATGTATCAATTGTTTTGTCTCTCTGTCCTCTGTATACCCATTACAATATATGCTTCATTTTATTCTATCTGGTGAGAAACTAAGTAATTAGTACTATAGTTCTAGAAGCTGCTAAAATAACCCTACAACTAGCAGTAGTTGCATATTAGAGCTAGATACTACTGCAGCCATTAAGGAAATCATTAGACAATTTTTATATTCTTTGGAGGGTTGCAATGTATTGCCTGTATCAAATTTGTGCTCTGATCTATTAGCTAGACTTTAGCAGTTGAAATGGGTTACCTTTATACACTTTCTGAGTCAGTTATCCAGCCCTGTAGAATCAAAGTTATTTCAGCTGAGATTTAGTAACTGACCTCACAAGCTCTCCAAGATGTTCATTTAGATGTCCAAGGGGCTGACAATAGTGAAGTCAGAATCTTTGCTATTATTGCTACTATCATCATCAGGGCTCGAACTCAGGTTACTAGAGGAGGCTGAAATGGAGCCCATGAGTGGATCAGAAAAGACCAAGGAAGAACGAGGTGGAACTTCATTCCTTGCTGCTGCCTCCTTGTGTGCATGAAGTAACTGCTCATGCTCAAAGACAGCACCTTTATTTCCCTCCTCTTCTTTGGAAACCAGGATATAGTCATCAGTGCTTCTGCTCTCTGAATTTCCACTTGTTTCAGCTGTTGCCTGAGAGACAATAATATGAAAATGATTTACAGTAAAACCAAAACACATTTTATTTAAAAATCCCAATTATGGCCATCATTGTTCTACTGCAAACAACTAACATAATTCCAAGCCAAAGTGGACTTTATGATCTCTGCCCAGCGATCGGATAAATACCATTGGGACTTTAAGCGCACAAACAGTTTAATTCAGAGTATACAAACGTATCTTGCACTGTGTCCTAAATATCACTAAGTATGATCCTAGTTGGATACATGGATGGAATTAATTCCAGGCTCAAAAACCCCCCTATGAAGAATGACCCAATGCCCATCTCTTAAGCCTCAATCTTGGGGAGAAAAAGCGAGAGGAATCTGACTGATTTCAAGTATTGCAGAAGGGCAAGAGAGGGAAATATATTAGGTTTATTAACTAACAAAATATCAAGGACTAAAAGTACTTGTTTACTTTGCATGAAACATAAAGGAGAGAGAAAATAAAAATACATCATCAGGTAATGGAGTTTGTACTAGTGCTATAATACTTTTCTCTTTCATTGCTGCAGTTACCTGTGGCTCCACATAACCAGTTGATCTCAGTTTTCCTTCTTACAGGTACATTCTAGTACTGATGCTTTTTGGAAATCAGAATTAGTGACTTTTTTCTATATTGGTTAATGAGCTAGATATAGAAGTTAGTGAAAATGAATTTTTGGAGAGTGATCTGAACCTCCATCAAGCTTCTGTAGTGGCTTGTTCACCAAACTTTCAGACCACTTAGAACAATTGCAATCCCTCAAGAGGGCCGTGAGGATCAATGGCATGTCCAGCAAGCAGAAATTATTTGATTAGCAAATTTGTAATCTGTTACCTTGAATGGATGGCAGATTAATTCCCCTCTCTTCCAGAAAAAACAGATAAAATACCACATTCTTATACAGGAAACAGTTTGTTCACCTACCAGAGATCATGATTGGATGCCTAGTCAATTTCATACTGCTGCCACTGAGTAAGAATACACTATGGCAAACAGTCTAAGGTAGGATAAGCAGGTATGAGGTGAGAGGATGTTGATGCCAACTTGTTAAGATTCACAGTCACGCAAGAGTGAGAAAAGACAAAAGAAGTGCAAGGGGCAGCTGAAGCAACATACTTGCCAGTTATATAAGGCTCAAATAGGCAATGATGTGCTAAGCAGGAGCAACTCCCTTAACAATGACTTTTTTCAAGTGAAGTTATACTTCCCAGCACAATGTAACCTAGAGTAAGAGAGATGGGAGGCTTTGGTAGAGGAGGAAAAAGAATGAAAATAGAGGCCAAGGAAGAGCTTAAATGAGATAGAGACAGATTAGTAATATACAGTACCTAAAATTATGTACATCATTAAGGTGCTGCTGATCCATAATCATTAAGGTGCTACTGATAACCATTTCCTATTCTCTCTCTCATTCATTATATAGGAGTACTCTCAAAAGTCTTCAGGAGGACTGAACTAGGGGATATATAGGAAGCTTATCCTACTAGCAACTGTGCAAGTAGTTGCTACGAAATATTAAAATTTAACAAGGCAAAACATCAGCTGTGAGTGAAAACCAGCTTAGAATAAAGAATTGTGATTCAGTACCTCAAGAACAAAGAAAAGTTTGTACTAAAAAGGTTCCAGAGACATTTCCATTACCAATATGGACCACTTTAAAAATATCTTGTTTACAGAAGTTATTAAACATTCTCATTTTATATAAATTGTTCTACAAATAAATGACCCATTTTAATACTGTCTCTCCAATACAAATTTAAACATCTCACATTGAGTAGCAGTAAAAATATGACATACATTACAAACAATAACAAATATCAAATATATAAATTAACGGATCTAAAAAACTGACAGCTGAACACTGTTGCTAATGTTTGCGTGCATGAATGCTTTTTAAAATCACTTACTAAATAATTTGTTTTCTTTCAGGTAACCATTATAAAATTAATCCAAATGCAAATTATTCTTAAGAGTTCTAAAAAACCCTATTTAATATGTTTGTAATATAGTTAAAACCGATGGGAGGGGGGGAGGGAGCACAATGTATTTTGGTACATGGTCATGGGCCGGCTCCACCCCTTGGAAGGGACAGACCTTGGGTTGGAAGGGGCAAGGCTAGGGACCAGCCTCTCCCTGGAGTTCTCTGGGACTGGAGGCTTTGAATTAAAAACACAGCAAAGGGATCACAGCTCCCAACTCTGCCACTGCCACATTGCCTGGCAGTCACCTGGGGTTGCTGCAGCTATTTAAAGGGCTCATGGCTCCAGCCCCTGCCAGGGTAGCACCATGCCCATGAGCTGTGAACCATTTAAATAGGATCCTGCTGCCTGAGTCAGTGCCTGGAAATTCAGTGACATGGGCAGCAGGATATAAATAGAAAGTGGTCAGATGCACTCCATGGGCCAAATCAAAGTGTTGAGTGGGTTGGATCTGCCGTCGGATCACAGCTTGCCCAGCTCTGGTTAAAATGAACAGTTAGTAAATTTCCTATTCCTTTTATGATTTTAAAAAAAATGTTTTCACTTAAAGAAGTTATAAAGAGATCTAACTTTACAGACACACTATTTAAAACACTTTTTCTATAATGAAGCCTTCTTTAATTACTTTTTTGTTTGATCTATTTGAATTTCTATCTTCATAATCTGTCGGCTAATCAGCTAACATGTCTAGGGCTCTGAGAACACAGACAGTGTACAAGAATGGCTTAGCTCCAGAAATTCATTAACAGTGTACTGTTAGATTCCATGGACATCCATCAGAAAGCATTACAAAGGGCCAGATTAAGGTCTTTGGGGACCATAGGTTCCATTGCAAATTTCAGTCTCCTTCTTTTTACATCAATAATGTAAACTATTTTAAACTCTCTTAGTTGACGTAATCCACTTTCCCTCTTTCCCCCGTTCTTTTTGGAAACCTCTTTTGAGAACTGAGTGTATTTTATAATTGTAGTCTGATGGCACCATATTAACCATTATTTTAGACTTCCCAGCACTCTTGTCTAAGATGGCTACTACTGTAGGAAACCGAAAGCATTGCCTAGCATCACGCTTACAAATAGGTTACCAGAGACAGCCATCTTGAAGATATCTGAAAGGCATACAGGCTGACCCCTTAGGACAGTGAACAGTTTCCTAAATTCTGATAAGTGCTGATGCCTGGTTAGATAACCCCTCCCCTCCAATTTAATAAAGTGAAAAGAAAAGAAAGAATCATATTTTAACTTCTTTTCTTTTATGATTAGGTTCTTCATTTTTAGCCTACCCAAATTTTGGGCCTCTAAACCTGGGTTTGGTAGAAGTATGATTCAGACTGGAACATATCCATTGCCCCCAATATGATCTAAAAGGCTTGGCATAAATATAGGTTTGAATTTGGAACACACTATTACTTTGATGCAGATATTTCCAGAGGTAAAAAATATGTCTCTCCATTCTTTGCTTTGCCTGTTTCTCTTTCAGGAAACTCATATTGACGTGAACCATGTTCTGTTCCATCTGCCGCCACTACTGAATAAATGAAAAATGACAGAAATATACTTCCAGCAGCTTTTGAAAGTGTTTTCGCCAGGTGCCATATGGGTTCTCCAAACATTTTTTTTCCCTGATGAATATCAGTTACTAATATCAGGCATATTTCAGTTGCCTACATATTGTGAACAAGCTAAAACTAACAATAAGAATACATTTTAAGTAAGCCTAGAAGAACAGCAGCAGTTCATTTTGTTTCTTTCTTGGGCTAGTTAAAAGAACAATAATGTATTAATTATACAATATTTAGCAATGCAAGATTTCTATTTATCCACGGTATTGCTAATGAAATGAATGCTGTATTTTGTGGCTACGTCTACACTGCCAGTTTTGCCGGCAGTGAATATGCAAATGTGGTGCAGATTAGCATATCACACCTCATTTGCATAATTTATGCGATGCATTTTTCCTCAAGGCATTTTTGAGAGAAAAAAAGTAGTGTGGACATTTTCTTTTTTTCGCAAAACCCCCTTTTCTCGCCAGATCCTTATGCCCCAAAAAAGGAGGTTTACCAATCTGGCGGGAAAAGGGGTTTTTGCGCAAAAAGAAAACGTCCACACTACTTTTTTTACCCACAAAAACCCTTTGCGCAAAAGTGCCTTTCATAAATTATGCAAATTAGGCACAGTGATATGCTAATCGGTGCCTCATTTGTATACTCATTGCCGGCAAAACCGGCAATGTAGACATAGCCTGAGCCTTTTTCTTATTGCACTGTAGCACAGAGTTAAAAATGGAACATTAGAAAATAAAGTGGTCATGAGTGGTGTGGAGAGGGCTGATAAAGAAAAGTTATTTATTAGTTCCCATAATAGAAGAACTAGAGGACACAAAATGAAATCAATGGGTAGCAGATTTAAAACTAATAAAAGAAAGTTCTTCTTCACACAGTGTGTAGTCAACCTGTAGAACTCCTTGCCAGAGGAGCCTGTGAAGGCTAGGACTATAACAGAGTTTAAAGAGAAGCTAGATAATTTCATGGAGGTTAGGTCCATAAAGGGCTATTAGCTAGGGGATAGAAATGGTGTCCCTGGCCTCTGTTTTTCAGAGGCTGGAGAAGGATGGTAGGAGACAAATCGCTTGATCATTGTCTTCGGTCCACCCTCCCTAGGGCACCTGGTGCTGGTCACTGTCGGCAGACCGGCTACTAGGCTAGATGGACCTTTGGTCTGACCCAGTACGGCCGTTCTTATGTTCTTATGTAAAGTCCTCCTTATATGAGTGATTCTTTACAAAATGTCAAGTGCTGGAGCAACGTGCCACTACGCCCAAACATACATAGTAGAGTGGTATAAGTTGAACCTCTATAGTTCGGCATCCTCAAGACCAGACTAGTGCCAAACCAGAGAATTTATCGAACTATGAGAGGTCAATATTGTCTAGCAGCATTACCAACACTTCCACTGCTCACTGGACTCTTACAATACGTTTAGGGGTAAACTTGAGCTAAATAACAGC